CATTACACACTACCTGTTATTAGTCATTAATAGTCCCCATTAACAACCTCCCAGCCTGATCGTTATCAACTCTTTGTCTGTCCAACCCCTCTACTTTCTCTTTAGGCTCTATCCTATTGTTTACTTCCCACCCCATCCCCCTCCTCTTTTCTCTGCATAGAAACTGACATTTTTCCAGGCACCATCAGTTCTGAGGAAGAGTCACCGGACCCAAAACATTAACTTTTTTTCTCCCTTCACAGATGCCGCTAGACCTGCTGAGCTTTTCCAGCAACTTTGTTTTTGTTCCTGATTTACAGCATCCACAGTTCTTTTGGTTTTTATCTATCCTGTAATAATGAGTTTCAGCAGCTACATATGTTTCATGTGATGCCACTTGATGTGACTTGTTGTCTTTCATAATGCTAAATGATATATACAGTGTTGGACTTTAGTTGCAGTAAATCACGAAACAAATTAATTGCAATTGATTTAATCTGTCGCACTACAAATTAACTCAGCTTATTTTTAGGGAAAAGAAAACAGATATGTTTATCATGAGAACCTGGTTATTGGGTTTATCTACATGTTGCTGCATCTGCAACTGAAAAAGGTCTGAACTATCAGGCAGCACACATGCAAGTGTCCTTTACCTTGGCCAGTCACTGCATGCTCAGCTACTTGCAATTCTCCCAATTGGAATCAAAGAAAAATTCAGGTTTTAATCTAAACTGCCTGTCAAGATAATGGCAAGATCAGGTCAAATTCCTCGTTTTCCCTTACTCTACATTTATGTCAGTAAGAGTACTAACTGTTGGTTTGTAAAACCAGCAATTTGTCTAATCCCGTGCATTTTCTGCCCGGTGAGATAGGGTGAAATCATTCTCGTAAGATCACAGATAACTGCAAATATTCTGCATCCTGACATTGTGCTGACATAAAGCTGCAGTTTTCACAAATGATACAGATCATGAGTGTTTCTGCAAAAAAAAAAAGAAGAAACATGAGCTCTATGTTTTGGATTCATCAGGGTGGAATGGCAAGAACAACACTGTATTCATGTGTTCAGTCATCATTACTAGTCTCTTGTCTAATACACAGGTTATGGAAGTCATAAAGATCACAATAACCTTCACACACCATCATTGCCTGAGCGTGTGATCATTGCAAACATAAGCCTAGCAACTTGCACAGTTGAGTTCACTTTTAACAGTACCACATGCATCCAAACAGATGGTCTTGCTATGGATCCCTTCAAGGTCCAGCTCCTACTAATATTTTCTTATTTTGCAAGAGAAAGGAATCTTTGATGGAATGACTGTTCACATAAGTTACAACATTAGCTGTGATTTTGTGATTGGACGTTACTTACTGAAAAATCCATTGTGTGCCAAGAATGACATAAGTAGCCAATTGAAGATCATCAGTCAGAATTGCAATAGGACTCACTTATGTGAGCTGGGTGCTATATACATAATGACACACAGGCCTTATTCCACATAAACAAGAAGGACTTGTCCAGGTATTGCATCATTTACAAGTATTTACACCATTTTCCAAATGGTGAAACCTGAGACAATCAGAGTCAATTCTTGCCAATAGATTAGCACCATTTTCTCCTGCATTATAAATTTCTGTTTTCTTTCAACTTCTTTCAATCTGTCTGCACAAGTGCAAGACAAGAAATTTTAGTAGGATGTCTCTTTTTGCAGCAACATTCAAATTCTAAGCTAGCATGCACCTAATTGTACAGATCTATTTCTATTCGCTTTTGAGCACAACATTAAATACATCATGTATCACAAATTAAGCTGGAAACATTAGTAATAATGAAAGCAGAGGAGAAGATTGAATATTTCTGTTTTGACACATATCAGTTCTGAATAACTTTTGCAGTAGCTCAAAGTAAGTGGATGCCATCCTTATTTAGGTATCACAAAGCAGATATGACAAAAGTGTATCCTTCATTTAAGAACAGGAGCAATAAAAGGAATGGCATCTTCAATAACTTGCAATGACTTGCCTCCTCATATTTCAGCCTTTAGAATCAGGTATAAGTCCACGTGATCAGTTCTTGGCAATACATCCAAACAGTTGCAAGGATATTACACACCTGTAATATAACCCAGTGACCTTCTTTGGCTGCCAGATCAAGAGCTCGTTCAGCTATCACCTCCTGGCCTTGACCAAGTGAGACATTGTGGAAGTTTTTATTATCAAATGTCCATCCCAGCTTTTTACCTGTGGTTGAAGAAAAGCTGTTAGTGTATAGAGTGCAGAATACACCATCCATTGCTGACATGATCTATTTCTCTTCGACAAAAAAAAGTTCAGACAGCATTTATAGTCAGAACAGTATTAAATACAATATATTGGGTTTTCAAACCTTTTAATATGAAACCACGTGCATTAAAAATCAATATATTTTATTCAATTTTGACTCAACTTTTGTTTATATTGAACACACTGCGTTGACAGGCAATTTAATCTTCAAACTGCCATTAGCCAAATCACATTGATAAACTTAATTTCAGAGAATTAAATTGATCTTTGAAATTCATTGTTTCCTCTGTTAAACCAGAAACTTATTCTCAAGTCAGTGTTCTTGTTCTTTGACCCAAAATAATACAACCCGTTAAGTGGAAATATTGGTTGATCTGCAACTCTAACGTTGGGTTCTGCACTCTTAAGTCATGATTTTCTTGAGTTTTTTTTTTAAGTCAAAGTACAGCAAAACAACTCTTTAATTAAAATAACAATACTGGCATCTGCCTCCACAATAAGTAATATTGGGTAAATGTTGAGGTGAAATTAAAGCACAGCACTCCTAACCAGTCCAACAATAGTTTGCACATTTCCTTAGGAAATGTGGAACATATTCCTTCTGGAAGCAGCCACACTGTGCAGACCTATATAGATTGTTTTGACAGCAATTGACAAAGCTTCAGTGAATAATGATCTTTACCAAGGCTAAATTAAAATTTATATCTGATTTGCGAATTGGTCCGCTGTAAGTTATAACCACACAACAAAACACCTAACCCTTCGATATGCAGCATTAATTTGAGAAAATATAGTGTGCAATATTTTCAGATGTTTCCAATTTGTCACTTACTGATTACAAGTGAGAAATATGGTGCTTTATCTTCAGTTTATACACTTGGTCCCTTAACCTAGATATTAAATTCTGTTGCTCAATATTACAAATACTGTCTGAAAGATTCATTTTGCCAATAAAGAACATTTGTTCCACTTAAGAATCAGCAATAAAAAAGCATGTGAAATATTACCATGTCTTTCTACATCCTTGAGTGGATCGACACCAGGAGAAAGGATAAAAAACATTGGTATGGCAGGCCCAGACTCTTCAAAGGATGTTGAAAAATCCAGTGACCTCCCCACAATATACTTGGTGCCCAACTTTTCTTCAACAAAATCTCTGACAGAAGGAAGACAGTTTTTGTATTAATTGCATTACAATACTAAATGTCTGCATTATTTGTCAGGATTCAAATACAGATTAACACACCATCGAAGTTATTAATCCATATGTGCGAAGGGGAGCAACTCTGAATAGGTATTTCGGGGTGACAGAATGAACGTGATGGTGCACTGCACATCCATCTCACTGTCAACTCAAGGATGGTGAAAGTGTGCTATGTGCAGCTCGGGTTTACCTCAATTCCTAGGAGGCCACCTTCGTCTACAACAATCAGGTCAGGAAAAGAACAATAATGATTTGAAAACGACAGACAGTGCAATGCATCACTAACTGAAAGACAGTCTTTGTTAATTGTGCATTATGTTAAGATACACTGATGAGTGATTGTTTAATTAAGTACTTAGAGCACTTATAAAGATAAACTGCTGAGTTAATAGGTAAGAAGCAGCCATATCTTATACTGCATTCTGCGAATTAACCTTTCATCATAAGAAAAATATCAGTAAAGGTATCAGTATCTAATTTCATACCTGACCATCTGATTTTGGATGTATACATGATGCAGAACAATTTTGCTTTCCCTCACCTGATCACTGCTAACTATCATGAGAACATGCATTTTTCTTTTTAAAATCTGCTACCAATTTGGGAGGAAGAGAAGCAGAATAAATGCAATTGACCCCTGCCACTCTATCAGATACTGTGTACAGTTTATTCCACCAGTATTTTGAGAGAGTCCTCCTCTGAGGTAATGTTTAATATCTACCATCTGCCACTGTCCTCCCTCAGGTTTATGGAAAATACATGCAAAATGTGAGAATTATCGCTGATACTGTGACATATCATACATGTGCCAATTTTCAGTCCAGAATGAAAGAACTGTGCATCAAACAATTATGTGAGATTTTTGTTTGTTGGTTTCTATTTAGTGCCTCGCAACCTCCAGTGGATTGAGAGAAAAGCAACTAGGATTGTGACCTCCAAGTCAGCAACGGTGGCTGTGGATTAGATGCTCAGATACTACCGTCCTGAGATCCCCAGAAACGTGCACAACCGTTTTCCTGATTGCATAACCTAGCCCAAAGAGCTCAGAAGTCCAATCCCTGACCCCAACAGAACTTTGTGTACTGGCGAGTGCCTTAATTCTTTTCTTGTGACTATATCCCTGTTGCTTGAACAGCTCAACCAGCTCAACCAACTCAACAACTCTCGTATCAAACTCACACTAAATGTGAAGCATTAAAATGGGGTCACAGCAAAAAAGACAGATACAGAAGGTTCTTTCAGTTTTGACAGCAAAAAGAAACTTTTAAGCACTGTGATAGGATGATTGATCTTATTTATAACTCTTAACGAAGCGAGCGAAAGAAGACATCCAGGTAAGAGCTGGGTTGTAACGGACTTTTTCCTGCAAGCGAGTGCGGGGGTCAATTTTCCTTTTTATTTACTCACTCACGGGCTGAGGCATCGCTGGTTAGACTAGCATTTGTTGCCTATTCCTAATTGCAGTTAAGAGTCAACCATCTTGCTGAGAGTCTGGAATCACGTAGCCAGATCAGATAAACATGGTCGTTACATTCACAAAAGGATATAAGTCAAATTCAATTTCAAATTGGGTCTGAGGTCACATGTAGGCCATACCAGGTAAGGATGGCAGTTTCCTTCCCCAAAGGACATCAGTGAACCAGATGGATTTTGTCTGACAGTGGTAACATAGTCATCATTAGGCATTTAATTGCAGACTTTTATTGCATTCAAATTCCATCATCTACCATGGTGGTATTTTGAACTCAGGTCCCCAGAACATTACCCGAGTCTTTGAGCCCAGCGTCAGTACACCTGGACTGTCACTTCCCCAATACTGTACTGGTGGAGATAGAAGTCCCCTCCTCTGTCTGCAACTTTGTCAATGCTTACAGGACTCTACTGTCCCACCAATCAAAGGACTATTATGTTCATAAGCCTTCTTTGAATTTTTTTTTAAATGGCCTTCCTTTTAAGCTTCTAGGAGCTTTTAAATTACTTAAACTAATTTAGCCTGAAAATTTAGGTGCAGTCAGTTTGAAACTCTTCAGAATAGGAAGATACATTTTTTTTAAAAAGTGCAAAATTACACCAAAACCGCATCCAAAGTGTGCAATTCTGGCTTTAATGAAGGTAGATCATGGTGGAGAGGTCAGGACTGAACTCTTTTTCCATAGAGGGCACTTTAGGAAAATGTGCAGCTGAAGACAGTTGAAAACAATTGATCAAAAAGGAATTCCCAGCACTACTTGACTGCCAAAAGGTGCAGCAAATTAACATGTTTCCATCTCTCTGATTGGATCCCTGATGCGATTCCTTTCTATCCACAAGAAATTCCACTTCCGCTCACCCTAATATGCAGCTTCATCTCCTCTCTCCCAGCTCCTGCAAAACTTCTGACCCAGGCTGTAGCCTGCTGCCTCGGCTTGACCCACTCAGTAGCTGAGTTGAACATTTAAAACTGATCCTGCCATAAAATTCGGAACCTCATACTCCAGGTTTCTGAACCACTAAAATGATCCCTACCCCCACCTTTTATTTTCTGCACTTTTGCCTCTTCCAAGGAGATAGAGAACATAACAAGAAGTTTAATAATGGGATGAAACTGGAATGAACTGAACAGGAAAGGGCTTGCTTTACAGAGTTTTATAAGAAACAACGTAACTATGACTCTGCTGGCATCAGACAAAGAACAAAGAGTGCAGAGTTTGCAACGTTAGCTCTGATTAATAAAACAAATAACTGTTGCTCTTACCGGACTGCGTAGGTCATTCGATCAGGGCGCAAGGCCCTCATCATGCACAGTTGCTGTAATGTTGTTTTGTTCTTCCATTCTTGTGGAAACTTTTCTTTTTCTGGACATTCAGACTCAACAAACTTCTTCCAACGCTTGGCAGAACCTTCAATATCACGGTCAAGGTTTCGAAACTCATCCATAGTTGACAGTGCCTAAATAGAGAGGTTTAGTTGTTATTTTTAGTTTGAGTTATTAACATTTCTCACAGTTACAGTCATCTTGATGTCTGAATTTGTCATCCAACATATTATTCCACCTATTCTAGGCCCCTAAGAGTCAACCACATTATGATCCTGTCCAGGTAAGGATGGCAGTTTCCTTCCCCAAAAGGACATTAGTGAACCAGATGAGCATTTTCAACAATTGACAATGTATTCATCATTGCACTCTGAATTACAGGTTTTTTTTAAAAAATTGAATTCAAATTCCACCAGCTACAATAGTGAGATTCAAACCCAGGTCCCCATGGTTTTCTGGATTAACAGTCCGTCAATTACACTATTAGGCTATTGCCTCCTCTTGACAGCACTGAAATCAAAGTGTAATGGCTATCCCTCAGGTGTCCTCCTGCCTACAATGTATGGTCTTATTATTCAATTACACATTGAAAAAATGGCATTCAGCAGCGCTGTAATAAGCAATTACAACGGCATTTCTGCTGAGATATCTGCAGTGGGTCTAACCAACTATGAGATAAAACTTGGAAAGAAATTGTTTACACGTTGGCGTGAAAACAAAGTTAAAGGTAATGTGTATAATGAATACCTGCTGTGTACTAAACCTCAGAAGACATAGCTGCATAGACAAGTCACTGAAATGTTATACCATAATAAAAGGTCTATCTCATTGCTTCTTTTTAACATTTCTTTTCTGCCAGTACTTTTTTTTCTCTGCATCTTGCTTCTAAAATTATTGACTGCTTTGAGTGCTCCTTGTTTTCAGGTATTTTGAGTAACTAGTCATCCTATCTGCTTGAATCTGAATAGCATGTTCCAGCAGTTCATTTGAGCAGAAGAACATCATTGACTTAACTGGACACGCACATACAAGTATACAGTATCAAAGGGAGCATTGCAGAGCATTTGGGAGTAGCAGCTTTCATTATCATATAGAGTCACAGAAGAGGCCCTTCAGCCCATCAACTCTGCAATGACCTAATGCAACTAATCCCACTTGCCAGCACTTGGCCCATAGCCTTGAATGTTATGACATTTCAATGTTCATCCAAGTATTTCTTATTTTAAAGTAATGAGGTTTCATGCTTCAACTACCCTCCCAGTGCATTCCAGATACCCACCACGCTCTGGGGGTAAAATCTTTTCCTCTAAACCACCTGCCACTCATCATTCCTAACCCTTCAATGAAGGGGAACAGCCGCTTTCTATCCACCCTGTACATGCCCCTTATAATCATACACACCTCAGTCAAGGCCCCCCATCAAATTTCTCTGCTCTAAGGAAAACAACCTGAGTATATCCAGCCTCTCTTTCATGTTGTCCAACTCAGGCAACATCTTCATGAATATCTTCTGCGCCCCCTCCAGTACAATTATATCCTTTCTACAGTGAGGCAACCAGAATGCACACAGTATTCTAGCTGTGGCCCAAAGTTTTGTACAGCTCCAACATAACTTCCCTGCACTTATAATCTTTGCTACAATTGATGAGGCAAGTGTTCTATATGCATTAACTACACTATTAATCTGCCCTGACACTTTCAGGGATCTGTTGAAAGCATTTTTCTGAAGGAGGGTCTAGGCCTGAAACGTCAGCCTTCCTGCTCCTCGGCCTGCTGTGTTCATCCAGATCTACACCTTGTTATCCCTATATAAGAGCCCTCTGAGCTCAATGTCCTGTCATTCTTTGATTGCTCCTTTGTCTTTTGAAATGTGTCATCTCACACTTTTCAGGGTGAAATTCAAACTGCTACTGATCTGCCCACCTGACCAACCTGTTTATATCTTTCCAAAACCTAAGACCTTCTTCCTACTGTTAACTACCTGGCCAATCTTTGTGTCATTCACAAACTTACTTATCATCATGCCACCCCAACCTGACACACACACACACACAGACACACACACACACACACACACACACACACACACCTAAATCGTTTACATATATAACAAACAATAAGGGACCCAGCACCAATCCCTGTGGTACACCTCTGGATGTCGCCTCCAGTCAACCAAACAGCTTTCTACCACCACTCTGTCTCCCACTATTCAGCCAATTTTGTTTCCATCTAGCCCAGTCACCCAGGATCGCATGTTCTTTTATTTTCTGTATCAGTCTTCCTTGTAGGATCTTGTCAAAGGCTTTGCTTAAATCCGTATAAATGCCATTAACTTCATTAACCTCATCTACACACCTAATCACCTCCTTGAAAAATGCAAAGAAATTTGTTGGGCACGACCTCTCTGACAAATCCATGCTGAATATCCTTGATTAAACCTTACCTCTGCAAGTGGAGATTAATTCTCTCCAACAGTTTATGAAAGGGAAATTTCTCAATACTGTCATCATCTTTGATATAACATAGCAATACTGCCTGTAATGCGTGGATAGATGCCACCAATCCTTCATATTGGTATTAATCAAAGTTACTTATGCTAAATGGGGAAGGATGTCCATACAACGTTGTTGCCAGAAGAGAGGCTCAATCTCATTAAGGAGCAAACATTTATTACATAGTACTTATTGTCAAGTCATATTGCAGCTAACACACATGTAGTCCACTATGAGACATCAGGGTCAACTTAAAAGTAAGTTCATATTACTGTGACTGTAGCATTTCAGTACACCCGTGACTACATTGGAAATAAAAACACAAAGTGCTGGAGGAATTTGGTAGCATCTTAGCAGTGAGGAACAGAGTTAACTTTTCAAGTTCAGTGATTCACCTTCAGAGCAGAATATACAGAACATTCTTCAACACCAGTTACCTTTTCCCAAGAAGTCTGTTATATCCTTTACATGAAGCTTATGTTGTGATGTTGGTTAACCATTTGATTTAATGTTTAATTCAATACTTCTGATCTGCTTTTACCTAGTAGGGTACTGTTGAGGCCAATTCACCACACTTGTGTCATCCAGATCAATGAATTGGTACTTACCAGGTATCAAGACTAGGTTTCTTCTTGTTCTAGGACTCAACTAATCACCCTTTCAACCAGTTTAACTACTAGTCCACAGCCAGCCTGCTTTATTTAATGTAATTAATGTTAGCTATTTAGTGTCGCTTATGGATGGAGATATCAACCTTTAGAAAGGATGTAAGTTTGCATTCCATGTACCAATGAAGATGAACCGCTGGTCATTAAATAGGTAGGCAGCCTCACCAAATGCATAGTTTGAGTTCTGACGAAATATATCACCTCCATAAAGGGAAACCATTGTGTACACTGGAAATCTAAAACTGGCAAAGAAAATGCTGGAGAAACTCGGCATGTCTGAAAGCGTCTGTGGAGGGAAGAAGAGTTAATGTTTCGAGTCTGGTATGATTCTTCAGAAGAGAAGTGACTTCTGAAGAAGAATCATACCAGGCTCAAAAGACTAAGTCTGTTTCTCCACACATGTTGCCAGACTTGCTGAGTTTCTCCAGCATTTTCTATGTTTACATCATATGTATGTTGGCTTGATGTAACTATCGGCCATTGCCACCACAGCAACACATCTGGGCAGAGGTTTTTTTTTAAGAAAAGATAAGTTCACCCTCTGTGTACTAGTGCCAGAATGCAAGCTGCCTGCATGCTTTTCTAAAAGCCCACATACTTCCCACACGCTATCCTTTTTTATTCAGTTGTGGGATGGGGCATTGCTGGCTAGTCAGCATTTCTTGCCCATCCCTAGGTGCCCTTGAGAAGGTGGTGGTGAGCTGCTTTCTTGAACTGCTGCAGTCCAGGTGCTGTAGGTTGACCCACAATACTCTTAGGGGTGGAATTCCACGATTTTGACCCAGCAACAGTGAAGGAATGGTAATATATTTCTAAGTCAGGACGGTGTGTGGCTCGGAGCAGAGCTTGAAGGTGGTAGTGCTCCCATGTATCTACTGCTCTTCTCTTTCTAAATGGAGTGTTCATGGGTTTGGAATGAGGTACTGTCTGAGGATTGTTAGTGAATTTCTGCAGTGCATCTTGTAGCTAGTACACACTGCTGTTACTGAGCATTGGTGGTAGAGCAAGTGGGTACCTGAGGATGTGGTACCAATTGATCGGGCCACTTTGTCTTGGATTGGTGTCAAGCTTCTTGACTATAGTTGGAGCTGCACTCATCCAGGCAATTGGGGAGCATTCCATCACACTCTCGACTTGTGCCCTGTAGATTGCGGATGGGCTTTTCGTGGTCAGGAGGTGAGTTACCAGCCCCAGTGGTCCTCGTCTCTGCCCTGCTCTTGTAGCCATTTGTGTTCATGGGGAGAGTCCAGTTCAAATTCTGGTAAACGTTAATCCCCTCAGGATGTTGATGGTAACACAATTGAATGTTGAGGGGCAGTGGTTAGATTGTCTGTTGATAGATATGGTCATTGCCTGGAGTGGTATGAACGTTACTTGCTACATGTCAGCCCAAGCCTGGATATTGTCCAGATCTTGTCACAATTGAACATGGACTACTGAAGAGTTACAAATGGTGCTGAACATTGTGCAATCATCAGCAAACATCTCCACTTCTGACCTTATGATGGTGGGAAGGTCATTGATGAAGTAGCTGACAATGGTTGGACCTGGGAGATTACTCTAAGGAACTCCTGCAGAGATGTCCAATACAGCACTATACAGTTACTATCTTTATACCTTTTGCAAAGAATTTCCAAGCTGTCTTTCCACATACGGAGGATTAATTGCACTTGCAATGTGCACAAACCCTACAAGACAATGCTAGTAAAGCACTGAGGAAGGGAAGTCTTTCCAAAATATCACCTCAATTCCCCATTATTAGAGGTCAGGTGCCATGATAGTGCCATTATAGCATAAGAACCCAACAGTGAGCCTCACACTGACTTCGGGATTGCCTAAAGGCAGACTCAAGGCCACTGACCAGGAACAGCAGGAATGCGGAGATCTGCAGTTGTGCACTTCATGCTTTCTAGTATATAGCCATACCAGGTGGCAGACTGGTGCCAAATGTACAGTCAGGCATTAACAAAAAGG